CCACAGAAAATGGGGAGTAGCCGCATGGATCATGGAGGTACGAGCGACCTCTATGACTAAGCCAATGCGGCGCTCAGCAACCCCATTCTGCTGTGGGGAGGCCGGAAGCGTGAACGACTGGAGGATGCCCTCCCCCTGACAAAAGTCCTGCAAGAGGTCGGAGGAAAACTCACCACCTCTATCAGAGTGCAGACGCAGGACAGGAAGGTCCGAGCGGAACCGCTCGCGGAGCTGGTGACGGTCTGCGCGGATCCAAGGGATCAAGACATCAGGGACCTCACCCTTGGTGCGCAAGGGGAAGATCGTGGTGTAGTCATCAACAACGAGCAAAAAGTATCGCTCGCCGCCCTGTCCACGAACGCGGGCTGGGCCCCACACGTCCATGTGGAGAGTCTGCAGGGGAGCCTCTGTCGGGGGAAACGAGGAGGAGTGAGGAGCAGCGCGCTGCCGCCCCTCGACGCAAGGAATGCAGGGCGGGGCAGGGGAGCGCGGAAGGGATGGCAGAGACCTGGGAAGACCAGAGACAAGGAGGCGAGAGTGCATGCCAAGGAGGCGTGGCAGGGAAGGGTGACCAAGGCGGTGGTGCCAGAGGAGAGTCTGGTGCGAAAGGAGGCGACACGAGCAGGGGGCTGCTACCTGACCAGACGCAAACACCTGACCAGACGTAGCTACCTGGGGAGGCTCAGTAATCAGTGTGTACAGGCTCGACCCAGGCCGACGGGTGGACAAGGCCAGGTGGCGGCCCGTCCATGCACACGTGCAGATCACCACACGCTGTCCTCCAGGGGTGAAGGTGTCAACCCAAACATCCTAGAGGACGGCGTTACTCACCAAGTTCGTAGAGAACGAGGGGAGGTGAAGGCCTGTCAGTGAGCCAGACGGAACCGCCGGACACGGAAGAACAGTGGAGGAACGTGCAAGGACTGGGCCCCCTGAGGGGTCAGCCAGAGAGACTGCAACAGGTGCAGGGAGTGGTGTGACTGTAGTGCTGTCGCGAAAGAAGCAGCGGGAAGCACCTGAGTCAAGGGTGAAGGTGTGCAAGGCCTCAGTAGGCGCAGTACCAGAGAGAGCAGACTCACTAGCACCTAGAGCAGCAGCCGCTATACCAGGGTCAGGGGGCACACACAGGTAACAGTCACCCTCAGTACTACCAGTCAGAGCATACATGGCAGTAAGGATAGTGTCATAGTCTAGAGCAAATATATCTACTCTGTCTTGAAGCAGCTCTAGCCAGAGGGGTAGCTCAGCCTCGTCGCCAAAGGCGTCGCTCAGACGGGAGAAGCAGCGGGACGGTGAGTGACTAAGTGTCCCGCAGGTCTGACCCGCCCCGATCACCTGTGCGATGACGTACTAGTAGCGAGCAGTACTCTTACACCCCCAACTCTGAGCGTACCACTCATGCAGCTGCCGGGGCGTAAGGGTCTCGCGCGGGCGCCGCTGCAGCTGCATCTGGCCACCGCCAGAAACTCCGCACTGAACAGCTCCACCGCGACTGCCACTACGGCCGCCGCCACCACTTGGCGTACCACTCACAAAGTTGCTGGCGCATAAGGGTCTCGCGCGGACTCCGCTGCAGCTGCATCTGGCCACCGCCAGAAACTCTGCACTGAATAGCTCCACCGCGACTGCCACTACGGCCGCCGCCACCACTCCCACTGCTGCCACCACCGCCGCCACCACTCCCACCGCTACCACGAAGAGAAGTCAAAGCGGACCAAGTAAGGATGTGTGCGATCAGCAGGGCAGCACTCAGTGAGGGCAAGATGGCGAGCAGGCCCTAGGGTAGAGCGTGCGGTACACGGTCACGGAAGGGCAGCGCGCAGCCAGAGTAGGGTAGTGCGTTGACATGAAAGGGCGGCGCGCGGGCAGGAAGTGACGGCGCACAGCCAGCAGAGCGGTGCGCGGGCTGCAAAGGGCAGCGCGCGGGCAGGCAGGGGCGGCGCGCGGGCAGCAGGGCGGCGCGCAGGCTACAGAGGGCGGCGCGCGGGCAGGCAGGGGCGGCGCGCGGGCTACAGAGGCGGCGCGAGGGCCCTAGGGCGACGCGACGGGCAGGCAGGGGCGGCGCGCGGGCCCTAGGGCGACGCGACGAGCAGGCCAGGGCGTCGCGCGGGTCCAAGGGCAACGCGACGGGCAGGGCAGGGCGTCGCGCAGGTCCTAGGGCGATGCGACGGGTAGGGCGTCGCGCGGGTCCTAGGGCGACGCGACGGGCAGGGCAGGGCGTCGCGCGGGTCCTAGAGCGACGTGACGGTCAGGGCAGGGCGTGCGCGGGGCAGCGCGACGCGGGGCAGGGCAGCGCGTGTGCGGGGCGGCGCGACGCAGGGCAGGGAGTGCGTTGGGCAGCGCAAAGCAGGGCAGGGCAGGGCGTGCGCGGGGCGGCGCAACGCAGGGCACGGTAGGGCGTGCGCTGGCAGCGCGACGCAGGGCAGGACGTGCGCGGGGCAGCGCGGCGCGGGCAGGGCAGGGCGTACGTGGGGCGACGCGGAGCAGGGCAAGGCATGCGCAGGGCAGCGCGACGCGGGCAGGGCAGGGCGTGCACGGGGCGGCGCAACGCAGGGCAGGGCGTACGCTGGCAGCGCGACGCAGAGCAGGGCGTGGGGTAGCGCGGAAACCGCAGTCGGTCACTAGCTAATGGTGGGCCCGGAAAAAAAAAAAAAAAAAAAAAAAAAAAAAAAAAAAACGGTTCTGTTGACCTACTGCTCTGAAACCATGTCAGAATTAACGAGCAGGAATGAATGCACTAGGCAGAATGAGAGTACAAGTACTAACCCTAATTGGGTTGTACCCTATATGGGCTACCCCACTACAGCCTACACAACAAAAACATGATTATTGTTTTGACATGCTGCAGCGTGGGCACGCCGTCGACATATAGTGTTGGCAGGTCGCCTTTCTGCAGTGCTGGCGCGGCTCCTCTACGCAACGTGGGCAGGCGGTCGACCAAGCTGTGCTGGCGGTCGACCAGGCTAGCTGCAGAGTTGCTAGGTGCCTGATGTAGTCATTGTTGTCATTGCTTGTTCAATCATTCTGTAATTCCAACTTTGTTAGTAGAAACTCTTGCCAACTTCTTTCGTGAATGTGTAAGTGCTAAGGAACTAAGCAAAGCTATGGTCACTCATAGTAGTTTTTGCCAACCCCCGTAGTCTAGCTCACTACCGTTGTAGAGTGACTCTCCTGAGTGAGGTCTTCGCAAGTCAAACGAAGCAAATTTGAAAAAAGACTCGCTGCAAAAATGAATCTCGTTAACATTTTAAACATGATTTCAAATTAAATCTGTACGTGTGCTTATGTAATAAGTAAAGGGTTTACAAAGGGGGGGGGGGGGGGGGGGGGGGGGGGGGACTTACAATCGAGTTTCGGCCATAAGCGTCATGCTCCAGATATAAGCGCCGGCGCCTTTTATCGGTTGGCGCCTATATCCGGGGCTATACGTGTGTTATGTCTGGTAGAATACGGTAAATTTTGCAGTTCTGCAAATGATGGCTGAAAAAGTGACCAATCCGACTGACTTTCGCAAAAGAAATGTCACCCAGATGGTCGACGAAAATCCGGTCAAAAAACAAAATGTCCGTTCTCTGCATGGTCGACGAAATCCCCGACAATGAATTCTTTCGCGACATTTCGTCGACCAGATATTTTCTTCCGGCATTCTGCTTCCTCCTAAACCCTTGTCGACGAAATTCGCATGTGTGTGGGGATTTTACCCTCATCGCATTTGCCAGGCCCAAACACGCAGGCTGCGCTCTGCAGGCGCATCAGCAATGACGAGTCTGCGGCTCGGCCTGATTCGCACATTGAGAAATTGAGGTTCGAAAATCGCGAATTGGAAATTGAGGTTCGGACTTTGGCGCTATTCTGTAGGCGTTAAATTTCAAAAATCCGGGTCCGCAGAATTTTCGCAGATAAGTGGGTTCCTGCCTATCAAGGTTTGGTGATAAGCGAAGTCCTGCCAAACGTGTTCGCGCCAAAGTTAACGCCTCTGCCTGCAGAACAACACTTTAGGGTCGCAAAATTTCAAACGTTTGCTGGTTCGGAGATGTTGCTTCACCGGGCAAATGGGCGCACAACTAGTGCGGTGCTGATTCTACCTCGGGAGCTAGCATCAGCCTCCGCACAAGTTATGCGGGGCAGCAACATCCGCGCAGTGCAACCAGCATGAATGCGCCTGGAAAATTCACGGAAGGTTAACGCGGTCAAATTGGTGCGGAACCCTAAACGCCTGCAGAATAACGTCTTTAAGGAATTGAGGTTTGGAAAATCTGACAAAACTGAATTGAGGTCAGGAGATTGGACATTTAGTTTCGTGACGAAGTTCAACATTCTGAACGTTACATGTTTCTCGGAAGTCAGTTGTAGCTAAATTTCGGTTTGGCCAAACTGATTGGCCAATGAGGTTGCAGCGCATCAGCTGATGCGCGCATGATCCAAATTTTCGAAGTCGCATGATGCGCGCATTAGTGATGCGCCCGATTGCTAGGAGAGAAAGCTTCATGGAACGCGGTCACATTACAACTTTCGAAAGCCAAAAAGGCCATTCGGAAGGCATTCTGGTTTGTTGCTTCTGAAGGCTTAAAACCCGCAGCCTGAATTACAAAAAGTGTTTTGAGGTGTTAACACTTTCCCTCCCGAACCTGGGTGGTTACCAAGTGTCCAACCAGTAAACGTGAGGAAGTCGCACGCAACACAGGGAAGGATCGCAAGGGTGCCTGGCAACGAGTTTGGCTGTGGGTGTGCACACCTAGCCAAGAAATTTGTAATTCAGGTCGACAGAAATCGGGGAGTCCTAGCCTACTATTAGCCTAGCGCTCTGCTTAGATCTTGATTTTTTACTCCAACTAGTGCAGTCTCAATCGCGATCTTTGCTCGTTGTGACGCACTCCCGTCGCATTAGGGTTACTCCCTCTGTCGCCTACGCTCACCCCTCCCGTCGCCTTCGCTCTTTCCCCTCCATCGTCCCACGCTCACTCCCTCGCGTCGTCTTCGCTCATTCCCCCCCGTCGCCCATGCTCACTCCCTACCGTCGTGTTCGCACACTCCCCTTCCGCCGCCCACGCTCACTCCCTCCCGTCGCGCTCGCTCACTCCCCTTCCGCCGCCCACGCGCACTCCGTCCCGTCACGTTCGTCTACTCCCCTTCCACCGCCCACGCTCACTCCCCTCCCGTCGCGACAGTCCCCTCCGTCGCATCTTGCGCCTGCGTTTCCCTTCGATGGCATATACGCGCAGCATCTACTAATTCAGGTTGTCTGAGATGTGTTCACTACAAAACCCTAGCTGCTGTGCGATGGTCGGATTCCAAAAGTGAGTGAATGAGTTTGTTAGCTGTTATGTCGCACCAATTTTCCTACTCTGCTCCAGCCCTCAGGTAGTCGCTTTTTGTTTTCGCAGCTCGCAACTTTCGAGATTCTTACAAACCTCACCCAAACCAAACCAAACCCAAACCGCACCTAGCGTTGACTCAAAAATGTAATTCAGGCTGCGGGTTTTAAGTCGGCAGGTTATCATGGAAGGATCCTAGAACCATAGAGGGGATCGTCAGTCTAGGCAGGATTTTGTCGGTGTGACCGGCCCTAAAACTCTGAGGCATCGTTCTGTACGCGCACAAGCTATCGGGCCTCTCTGCACAAACTCTGCGGAAAGCATGTTCCCCGAAGGGGAGAGGTCGTCCTCGATTTCGCCGAAATTCGAAACTGCTGACGAAGCAATTTCGCATACATCGGAACTTTTTTCGTCGCATCTGCCCAGAACGAATGAAGGATGTTTTAGGGCCCAACCCAGGCACAAACCGTAGACGTTTTAGGGTTCCCTGCAACCACCTCTCAACCGTAGACGTTTAGGATTTGATTTTTCTGTGGTGAGGTTTGATCTTCAAACGTCTCAGTAACGGGCGTTGTGATCTGCCCGTTATAGCCTGTGCGTCTCCTTATCCCTGGGGGGATGGGCGGATAGGGTTCGCACGGGCTGTTGGTTCAATTTGCCCGAGGAAGAGGCTTCCATGCAGCCTCGGAGGGGATGGACTGTTCTCCGTTCAGTTACACGTGGGCGCACACCGGCTGCTCCCAGGTTCGGACGACAATAACGAAATGGGAGGTTCGAAATGGGTTTTAAAGCCTCACATCGCGTTCCAAGAAGTTCATTACTGGGCCTGAGCATCTGCAATGCGCTTACAGAACGATGCCTGATTTCAGCCCTTTTCGAAGGTGCAGGGCGGATTCCGGATCCCCCACGAATCCCTTTGATGGCCCAGAAAATACGTGGCGAACAGGGCCATGATGCGGGCTGATGCGCCTGCAGAACGCAGCCCCAAACTACGGCCAAGGAGGCGCGCCCGACATCCCAACAGGTATGCTCAGCGCCTGGTCTAGCACGGTTCGGTAGGATACCTCACGGTTCAGGAAGCTAATTGTGGTCACCTCTCTGCACCATCGCACAGGGATGGCGCGAGGTGGAGTAGGTCAGTCTGGTAGGGTTCGAGCTCAACAAATCCTAGTCCACTAAAGTTTCTTAGCTTTCCGCAAACCTCGGTTCGCCGTATCCGTCGCCGCGCACTCCAGGCTCGCAACCCTCGCATCGTCTCCCTCGCATCGTCTCCCTCGCATCGTCTCCCTCGCATCGTCTCCCTCGCATCGTCTCCCTCGCATTGTTTCTCTCGCGGCGGGTGTGACGGTCGGTGGGGCGCGCATGGCGACGTTCGAGGCGTACGAGCGGCAGTTCAACGGCATCGTCGACGCCTTGTCGCACGGTACGCCAATCACACGTCAGCATAGGGCGTGGCGGCTCGTCTCCCGTTTGCGCTCCTCCGCCCTGCATGGTTCCCTCCGCCCTGAGTTTCGCTCATCGCGTCCCATTCATCGCGTCTCATTCATCGCGTCTCATTCATCGCGTCTCATTCATCGCGTCCCATTCATCGCGTCTCATTCATCGCGTCTCATTCATCGCGTCTCATTCATCGCGTCTCATTCATCGCGTCTCATTCATCGCGTCTCATTCATCGCGTCCCATTCATCGCGTCTCATTCATCGCGTATCACTCGTCTCGTCGTGGCCGTGCAGGTGCGTCCAGCGGGCGGCCGCACGAGGCGCAGCGGCGCATCGACGACGCGGAGTCACTCGTACGTCGCCTCCCCCACGCTCCCCCTGCACCCTCTCCGCTCCCTCTGCACCCTCTCCGCTCCCCCTGCACCCTCTCCGCTCCCCCTGCACCCTCTCCGCTCCCCCTGCACCCTCTCCGCTCCCCCTGCACCATCTCCGCTCCCCCTGCACCCTCCCCGCTCCCCCTGCACCCTTTTCGGGTCCTCCCACGCTCTCCCTTCATCGCCGCCACCTCGTTCGTCGCTCCGCTATGCAGTCCTCCCCGCCGCGTTGCTCTCCTCCCCGCCGCGTTGCTCTCCTCCCCGCCGCGTTGCTCGCCTCCCCGCCGCGTTGCTCTCCTCCCCGCCGCACATATTCCTTCTTCCCCTCCCCGGCTCCCCTCGCCTCGCGCGCCCCTCCCCCAGATTCGCCAGATGGATCTCGAGGCGCGCTCGCTTCCCCCCACCGACCGCGCGCATCTGCTGGCGCGCCTGCGCGCGCACAAGCTCGCGCTGCTCGCCGCCAAGAAGCGCGCCGCGGAGACGGGGGGGGAGGGGGGAGTCGTGGCGGGCGGGCAAGGAAAGGGGCAAGCGGGGGCCCGAGGGGTGGGGCGAGCGGAGGAGGAGAGAGCAGCGCTGCTGGAAGATGGAAGGGACTATGTGCCTCTATCGGTGCGTGTCTCTATCGGTGCGTGCCTCTATCGGTGCGTGCCTCTATCGGTGCGTGTCTCTATCGGTGCGTGCCTCTATCGGTGCGTGCCCCTATCGGTGCATGCCCCTATCGGTGCGTGCCTCTATCGGTGCGTGCCTCTATCGGTGCGTGCCCCTATCGGTGCGTGCCTCTATCGGTGCGTGCCTCTATCGGTGCGTGCCTCTATTGGTGCGTGCCTCTATCGATGCGTGCTCCTATCGGTGCGTGCCCCTATCGGTGCGTGCTCCCGCTATCCCTAGGACAGGGACCAGCAGTACGTGTCTCTTCCGGCGCACACACACGTCCATCCATCTTGACGCCCTCCCCTCCACCTCGCCCTCCACCCCTCCCCCTCCCCACCCAGGGCGCGGCGGACCAGCGCGCGCGGCTCCTGCAGGTGACGGCGCGGGTGGAGGAGTCGTCAGCGCGCGTGGCGGAGTCGCGGCGGGCGATGGCGGGTGCGGAGCAGCTGGGCGTGGCCATCCTGGCGGACCTGCACCAGCAGCGCCAGTCCCTGCTGCGCGCCGGCGACACGGTGAGGGGGGAGGAGGGGAGGAGAAGCGGAGAGGAGAGACTTTGGTGAATCAGACGAGGGAAGTATAAGTGCCCCTTGCACGCACCTCTCACTGCACGCACCCCCCTCTCTCTGCACACGCCTCTCTCACTCTGCACACGCCTCTCTCACTCTGCACACGCCTCTCTCACTACACACATCTCGCTGTGCCGTCAAGAGCATTCCCCTGCAATCCCCTGTACGCTGCGTGTGCGTGTGCATGTGCGGTGGGCAGCTGGAGGACGTGGACCATCAGATGAGTCGAGCGAGGCGAGTGCTGACAGGCATGGCGCACAAGCTGCATCGCAACAAATGGATCACCGCACTCATCCTCTCCCTGCTGCTGCTCGCCATCGCTGCCGTCATCTACCTCCGCCTGCGCCACTAGCCACTAGCCACTAGCACCGCATGCCAGCCTGGCCCCTCATTGTACAGCTCTGCTCGCATTATGCCTTGTATGTACATGTGGACTGAATGCAAGAAAAAGGATCCAGTTGTATTCGCTTATTGGGTTTAGTGCATACTGTTGGAAACAAATAATCTAAAGCGCTTCTGATGTGTCGAAACATCGAACCTTTAAGAAGCGAAATACAACGGAGCATTAGCGAGTCAACCAAAGAGGTTGACAAAAATGGTAACCGCCGGAGGTTACGCGAAGGTCAAAGGTCGCTGACCTTTGACTCGACAAATACAGCGCGACAGCAAGGACACACAACCGACTCGTTATTGAGCGGTTGCCCGAGTCGTCACTGTATCGAACCGCAACAGCAACAATAAAACGGTTACCGTAATCTCCCGGCAAGAAGACCCCCCCCGCGTACAAGCCCCTGGGTCCTTTTGTCAGAATGTGATATTTATCTAGCCTGCAGTGGGGTACTCTATAGCGAGTATAGCCCAAATTAGGGTTTCCTATATGTTAGAATGTCTAGGCAAGGATGATCGGATTGAAAGAAGCAAGGGTACAAATAGGAAACCCTAGTTGGGGTTGTACCCCATATTGGCTACCCCACTACAGCCTACAAACATATAACACATTTATACTTTGACACACCCCCATAGGCAAAGTGGGGGAGAGCAAGGGGTCACAAGACCAGTCAAGCAAAGCAAAGAACAAGCTCAGGGTGGATCACAATGTCACCACACTCTCTGAGCACAAGCAAAGGCCACAAGGCCAGTTCACATGCAGATTTATATAGAAGAACACAAGTAGTACAGTGATCAAAGCCTAGCAAGTGCAAGCATGCAAGGACATATATATAGATCACAGTACAAGCAAAGTCAAGAAGTAAGCAAGTGAGAGAACGTGGACACAAGGCCTAACGCAGTGCAGTGCCGCTGATGATCACTAGGCGGAAGCGCCTTGGTGAATATATCAGCAGTGTTGGCCTTCGAGTCCACGTACGCAAGGCGAAGCTGGCCACGCTGCTGCAGCTCTCGAGCCAGAAAGTAACGGAGAGCAATGTGCTTCGTTCTGTGCTCCAGTCTGTGCTCCTGACACAAGGCAAGAGCTGCCTTGTTGTCGCCGTACAGAACTGGAGGAGAACGAGGCCGCTCACCCAGGTCAGTCAGCAGGTAGGTGAGCCAGCGTAGCTCTTGTGCGGCCATGGCCGTGGCGTAGATCTCAGCCTCACAACTGGAGCTGAGAACAGAAGAAGAGCGAGTGGAACGCCAAGAGACAGAACCAGAGCCAAGGCTGAAAGTGTAACCCTGTGACGACCGCTGCGTAGCCAGGTCGTCAACCCAAGAGGCGTCTGAGTGTCCAGTGAGGACAACTGAGCCCTGTCCTCCAAGCACCAGCCCCATGCCTGATGTACTGCACAAGTAGCGCAGCACCCTCTTAGCAGCCTCCCAGTGCTCTCGCTTGTGTCTCCCAGGCGCAACGTAGCGAGCTAGGATGCTAAGAGGGTACGCAAGGTCAGGTCGAGTGCAGGTCATCAGGTACATGAGGCAGCCCACAAGCTCTGGGTACGGGCCACTCGGCTCTACGGACTCGTCCGAAGGTGGAGCTGAGAGCGAGTGGCTGGTAGACAGAGGAGTGGACTGAGGTGAGGAGAACTGGAAGCCGAAGCGCTGAAGGACCTGCTGCACAATGTGTGACTGAGTCAGGGTGATGGTGCGGCGTGCTCTGTCCCGAGTGATCTGCAAGCCAAGGTAACTGCGCAGCTCACCCAGGTCTGTGCACGTGTGTCTCTTCTGCAGCTCCGACTTCACAAGAGCAAGTGCCTCAGTGTCAGCAGTAGCAAAGACCAAGTCCTCGACGTACACGAGGATGTAGAACGGCGACAGCGAGGTGTCGGTGCGCAGGAACAGTGAAGGGTCTGCAGTGGAGGGAGCAAACCCAAGAGCCGCAAGTGTCGTCCTCAGTGTGTCGTGCCACTCACGTGGCGCCTAGCGGAGACCGTAAACTGGCCGTCGGAGGCTCCACTGGGTGCCAGGAGGAAAAGACCCAGTGAAGCCAGGAGGACGGCGCAGCCAGATCTCCTCGTGCAGGCTGCCCTGCAAGAAAGCTGTGCTGAAGTCAAGAGAGTGAAGCTCGTAGTCACGCTGAGCGGCAACGTGCAGCAGCACCCGAAGAGTGGTCATCTTCGGGGTGGGGGAGAAGGTCTGGAAGAAGTCAACTCCCTGGCGCTGACTGAAGCCTCGAGCAACGTAACGAGCCTTGAAGACAGGCGGAGAACCCGGCGGCCGCTTCACCCTGAAAATCCACATGCCATCGACGATGTTCGCCCCAGGAGGGGGAACCTCGTCAACGTAAGTGCCTGTGGACTTCCAGGATGCCATCTCTGCGTCCATGGCTGTCTGCCACTGAGAGGGGTAGGGACCCGCGATCGCCTCAGCGTAAGAGCGCGGGGTAGGGATGTCAAGAGCATCCGGGTCTCCCTCAGGGGCAAGCAGCATGGCCACGAGATGAGGTGCAGTGGCCGCAAGACACTCAAGGTCCTCCTGTCTGTCCTCAAGGACGTCCGTGCCAAGAGCACACTCACCCTCGACGGACGGAGGACAGACAGACGCAGACTCAGCAACAAGAGCAGTGGCGTAGTCTAGACGACACGCAGCAGCAAAGTCAACAAGCTCAGCGACCAAGGCAGACGCAGCAGCAGACTCAAACGACGGGTTAGTGACAACAGTGGCTAGCAGACGCGTGACAGTAGGGTGCTCAGCACGAAACCGGTCAGACTCAGGGTTCGGAACGTCAGGCAGAGACGACGCAGGGGGAGACGGTAGAGGAACAGACTGCGGAGCAGAGGAAGGACGACGGACTACGAGGTGTGTGCCGGGGACAGCCGGCTGACGCGGACGAGGAACACGACGACCGGAACGACCAGAGGGGACAGGCGAGACAGGACGCGACGCAGGCTCACGACGCTCAGCAAGACCCCCAGTCTGCTCAGTGTAAGGAGAAGGAGCAGGCAGTGGGGAGCCAGGCTGTAACGGAAGACCAGTAGACGACGGTAGGCTAAGAACCTGGCGAAGCACAGAGTCAGGCGGTGGCAGAGACGACGAAGACGGCGGAGCGAAGAACAGTCGCGGCTGCGCCGTGGCACCAGCACCAGCAGCTCCAACGGCCCCAGTAGCTCCAGAACCTCCAGCGCCAGCTCCTCCAGGACCAGCTCCACCAGCAGCAGCACCCCCAGAACCGGCACCTCCAGCCCCAGGGTCTCCAACCGCAGTGTCTCCAGCAGCAGCACCCCCAGACACAGCACCTCCAGTCCCAGCAGCTCCAGTACTGCCAGTAGACAAAGAACCAGCACCACTCCTAGCTTTAGTGACGTCAGCAGAAGCACCTCCAGCTGCAGAGCCCCGAGCTCCAGCAGCGCGACCCTGACGGCGACCGTACCAGTCGTGCAGCTGCTGCGAGGTGAGAGGCACACGCGGACGAAGGCGGCCACTCCAAGGAGACCGCGCACCAGTAGTCGCAGTACCCTCAGACGCAGCACTCCCAGACGCCGCACCCCCAGACTCAGGACCCCCAGACTCCTCACGCACAGGCGCAACACCCCCAGACGTAGTACCTCCAGTCTCCTCACGCAAAGGCTCAGCACTCCCAGACGCAGTACCTCCAGGCTCCGCACGCTCAGGCTCAGCACCTCCAGACGCAGCACTCCTAGGCTCCTGACGCTCAGGCTCAGCACCCCCAGGCTCTGCACCCCTAGGGACAGCGCCGGCTCCAGTTGCCGCCAACACCAGCGCACCCTGCAGCAGGGCCCCCAGCTCCAGCAGCGCGACCCTGACTGCTGACGTACCACTCATGTAGCTGCTGTGGGGAGAGAGGGAGACGGCTCCGAGAGTGCAGCGGCGAGGCACCAGCGGAGCGACTACGGAGACGGTCGCTCGAGGGAGACTGCTCACCAGACGCCCCAGCGCCCCCAGGTGCAGCACCCCCAGACGCAGCACCCCCAGGCTCAGCACCCCTAGGCTCCGCACCCCCAGGCTCCGCACCCCCAGACGCAGCACCCCAGACTTCGCACCCCCAGGCTCAGCACCCCCAGAGGCCGCATCCCGAGCAAGACCACCCGCAGCAGGACCTGAGTCACCAGTAACCTCAACCGGCGCAGGCAAGGGAGGAGGGTCTACCTGAGACACACCTGAAGGAGCAGGACCGGGAGCGGGGAGGGGGTCTACCTGGGGAGCACCTGGAGCGAGGAAGAGCGGCGGGGGGGGGGGGGGGAGAGGGGCAGTGCGGTAGGGGAAGAGACGGTAAAAGGGAACCGACTTGTCAAACGTGACGTCCTGAGACGCAAAGACACGGCGCGAGGTGGGGTGGTAAAACTGCCAACCAGGCGCGTCAGGGACAAAGCCAAGGAAGACACAGGGAACAGCGCGAGCGGAGAGCTTGTCCGCGGTGGTATCGCGGACAAAGGCACGAGCACCCCAGACCCGGAAACGCGACGCATCGCCAACCTCCCCCGTCCACAGCAGTGTGGGCGAGGTCTCTGGCAAGGAGACACCGGGCCAGAGGTTGAGCTGATGCGCGGCGTACCGGACCGCAAACAGCCACAGAAAATGGGGGGCAGCCGCATGGATCATGGAGGTACGAGCGACCTCCATGACTAAGCCAATGCGGCGCTCAGCAACCCCATTCTGCTGCAGAGAGGCCGGAAGCGTGAACGACTGGGTGATGCCGTGCTCCTCACAGAAGGCTCGCAAGAGGTCGGAGGAGAACTCACCACCTCTGTCAGAGTGCAGACGCAAGACAGGAAAGTCCGACTGGAACCGCTCGCGGAGCTGGAGACGAGCAGCGCGGATCCAGGGGATCAAAACAGCAGGGACGTCCCCCTTGCTGCGCAAGGGGAAGACCGTGGTGTAGCGCGTGTAGTCGTCGACTACCAGCAGGAAGTACCGCTCGCGGCCCTGTCCCTGGACGCGGGCCGGGCCCCACACGTCCAG